ACACATACAAAAAATACCAGCCTTAATATTTTTTCAGGATCTATTTTTCTATTTTATACCCATTTCTTTCTTTTTTATTATAATTTATCTCTCTCGATCCGTAATCAAGGGAGATTTATTGATTCTCTAACTATATAAACAGGGATTCCAAGGAGCAACCAAAACATACATGTTCCCTAGTAATCAAATGATATTCAAAATACATGCAAATACATATTGATAGATAACATATCTAAAAAAGTCCAAAACATGTGAAATTTGATATGAACAATCATGAATTTGGATTTTATTAAAACTATTAAATATGTCATTTCACTAATTTGATACCATGGTATCAACAAATCCTCTTGACTCTATGTAAAAAGAAACATAAACATGCTACATGTTGGTCTATAATTTAAAAAAAAACAAGAAATCAACATATTTGGCTCTCAACCATCAATTGGTCATCTTTACACAACTCCAATCCACCTCCATTAACTAATCTTGGTCAACTCCCGTGTCAACAACATGATCATCACAGTCAAATACACAACAAAAAGGTAAGTTTGTTGACAAAAGAAACATACATGCAAAATGCACAACATGAATAAAATATTCATATAACACAAAGCCTCAAACTCCTATATCACACATCATCTCAACACTAGAGACTACATGAATAACCATCAGTACCACACCATGTAAATGCATACATCTCATCATGTGCTCAATGCATCATGCAATGTCACACACACTCTACTAAGATATCTCCTAAATAAACAATTTATTCAATGTCACCTAGCGATCTGTATTAACCATAGCCATTCATGCATTGCCAACATATACTAGGATGGTTTTGTATTACCATTAGGTAATACAACTTGTTTGTGGACTTATAACAACATTGGTCTATATAAACAACGCCCTTGATAGATTTAGCCAACATGCCTACTCCCTAAATATAACACACCCTTCTAATATTAGGTTGATTTAAACCATAGGTTACTAACTACCCATGACTTACATGCCAACACAATTTTTGTGTTCCAAACTTAGACATGACCATTTATGACATGTGAAGTGGTTCACTTCATTATCTTTGCACCATTTTTTCAAAACATGTGTTAAAGGATAACCATTTATTTTAAAGAAACCATGTGCATTACTTTGGATCACGAATCTTAAAGCTTCATAGAGATATTTTCATTGACATCTCTCACTAAACAACTTTAACAAAACACTTCTCAAGGAAGTTACATCATTCTCCTTTAAATTATCATGCAAGAATGCACACAAGGTTCATACACAAACACATAAGGCTCACATCTCCATACAAGACACTATTCATCATCCAATAATCTACCATAAACATGAACACCACACACGGGAGACAAGGCTTAAGCCACATGTTCTTAGTCTCCAAAGCTATCAAGAACACCTCAAGCACACGAGAATACCGTTTAGCTAAAATAGGAGATTTGTTAAGCGAATTCCGTCATATAGAGGAAAAATCACTCAACAAACACCTTTCACTTATAGACCTTCAACAACACGAAAATTATAGAACAAAGCTCGTTCAGCCAAAATATTTGGCTAAACGAACCCCACAACTTAGCAGAAGACTATTTCTCATTACATTGATATCATAAACATACATTAATTTTTATACAAAAAGTCTAAGTCCCAAAATAGTTGGGAAACTTAATTTTAGAAATAGGAACCATCTTCAAATTGACACACTATTTAACAATTGGGCTTTAATAGATACTTGGGCCTATTAACAGAAAACTGAATTACAACACAACATCAAACTTCAATTTGAATCGACACCTTCGAGAAATAAATTTCATCCCAATAAGTGCGTCTTCCAACCCTTAAGAAAATTTATGAAGTGACATTAACATTATTAAAAACTCATTCATTAGTATAGAAGTTGACTTTGGTTTGGAAAGGCGAAGTTTGTGGCAGTTTTTTCGACCTAAATGAGGGTGATTTTGTAATTTATGTTTTATTATTTAATGAATCATTAAAAGATACTCGGTATGGTAATTAATGTACTATATTTCTAATATTAAATGCGTGATTTAAATGAGAGACCTTTTCAAACCTATGTTATGTATTACTTGATGGATTAACAAAATTTTATTTACAAAAATGATATTCCTAAATCGATAGTTATAAACTCTTTTCAATCCTTATTACAAGACACAATTTATAAAGAAATTGTTGTCATTCTTACAAGACATTTTACAATTTCTATAAAACATTAATTTTTTTTTAATGTTTTGTTCCTATTAAAGATCATGAATATATGCGTTTCTTGTTGAATAACAAGAAGATATTTTAAAAAATAAATATTCCCTCTCAACTTTTGAACTCTCAAATTTCCATCGATCAATTTTATTGATAGCAGTGCATATAAACTTTGGTATGGAATAATATCTTCACTACTCTCATGACATTTTTTTACATAACTCCCATGACAATTTAATAATAAGTAATTAGAGTAAAATTTAAGTATCCTTATTTTTTATGAAGCCGAGAAAATAACTTAAATAACTATTTATATTAGTTTGTGTGATTTTGTTATTAGTACTTTATAATAAAGATCAAAAAAAGTATTATTTTCTTTCAATATACATAGATATTACTGAAATGAGTTTTATTTTTTTAACAAAATATTTTTCATACACATGAGCAAAAATCGAATCTTAAAAAATATGCTTCAAGAACTCACTAATTTATCAACTTTGTCAACCTTATTGATTTTTTCGTCATTGTATTTAATGTATTTTATTTTTGGCATTATTTTTTTTTATAGTAATGAATTTCTAACGCTTTACGTAAAATGTATGATTATGACTATATTAATAATTTAAATATGTAATATTTTAGTATTATTTATTTTTTTAACCATAATATTAGTATGAAGTATGCATTAATCTTGTTAACAATTAATCTCTGTATATGAGACTAGTTGGCCACTTTTAGTGAGGTATCATTCTTAAGTCTTAACCATGTTTTCATTCACAAGACTTGAACTTGAAACTTTATTTGAGAGGATTGAGTCTAGTATTACTCAACCAAATCACTTGTTGGTATTACTAAACTTATTTATGGCTCGTTTTTTGCTCTATAACATGCTTAAATATCTTTGTTTAAGGATATATGTACTTTTTACTAGATACTTCCTACAATCCTTATTATAAGACACTTTTAATCGAATCATATAGATGAATATGTTTAAATATCAAAGTAGCTATGCTAGTTGATTTTATTGGGTTTATACACCAAAATATGATTTACTAATTTTACTCTTCTTACTTATTATAAAAATTTCATGAAAAAGGTGAAAATATTATTCCATATTAATATTTATGCACCAGTACTAATTAAATGATACTCCTTTCATTTTACAATAAGTGTCATCCTAGGTTATTTTACACAGACAACAAAAAATTAATAAATAAACAAAATAGAATAAATAAATAATAGATAATTAATATTATATTGAAATACTAAAATAACACTTATTTTAGTTTTTTAATGCGACACTTATTATGAAATAGAGCAAATAACAACCATAGAATTTAAAAAGTGAGAGAGAAACACACACTCATACAATCTTTAACAATAATAAAAATATAAAAAATTAATATTTTTATAAAAATTGTAGAGTATTTTATTAAAAAGATCAACAACTTTTTCTAAATCATGTCTTACAATAAATTTCAGTAGGAGTATATTATTAATATTTCTAATAAAATATTTTTTTTTCAAATATCTTATAAATTGTTCCATGAAAATCAAAATCAACAATACTAATTATCATTGAAAAACAAATTTAATGTCATTATAAACGAAAATTAATATATTATAAAATCAAAATTAATTTTAAGATTAAATACATGTTTCATTAACTAATAAATATAATAGAATATAAAATGGATTAAATTCTATTAGATAAAAAAATAATGAAAACCTCAATTACTTTCAAATCCACTCGAATAAAACTTATAAATTCAAGTGATATAAAAAAGATTTAAATATATTTTTAGTCTCTTAAATATAAAGTAAACTTATTTTTAATCGCTTAAATTTAAAACTAATCTTTTTAATTTATATAATTTTAAAAAATCTTACTTTAGTCTTTATACTCATATTTTTCTTAAATAATTTGTCATATACTATTGTATTAAATATGTTTTTATTAATGAAAATATCACATTAAACCTAATTAATACTGTATAGTAATATTAATTTGTCATCTTTAGATATACTATTATTTACCTGAAAACAAACAAAATTTTGAAAAATTACAAGAATTACAAATAATAATTTTAAATTTAAGAGATTAAAAATATATTTAAGAAAAAAAATTCACTCTTAATATTTTGTACATAAAAATAAACAAAAAAATTGTTTCAAAACTATAATTTTTCTGAATAATTTTTAAAAAAATATAAATACTTGAATATATTTTTTAATTTATAAAAATTTACAATCGCAGAGACCATTCACTTTTCACATGTTTTCAAAGCCTAAGTCTTCTGTTAATGCACCATAATACCATGGTCTTCGTACACACCTCACGAAAAAATCTCCATCTCTCGTTTCACATCACAGGTTTTAAATTTTGTCCTGAGTTTTCACCTTTTCAATTTAAAATTTCAAAAAATAGTAATTAATATTTTTATAAATAAAAAAAAGGTACGTAATGGTATAATGCACAATCGCCACGATCACTCTGTAATGTGGGTGGTTTTCAATAACCCAGAACACGAGGGGCATCTCCCCGATATTCCACACAGTGCCAAGGCTACCACTGTAAATTCACACCTAACAAAAACCCAATGCGTACTGCGCACGATAATCTTCTCCTACACGCGTCACCAACCTAATCCAAATCATCCACACCACGTCGGATCCTACGTGGCACATACTGCCATGTCAGCAACTCCGCCTCCTCGCTATATATACCACTCTCCCCACTCCTCACACCTAATCCAAAACGCTAAAAAACAAAACAGAGAAATTAAAACAAACAAAAAATAAAAAAAACTCTCTCACTCCTTCAACCTGTTTCTCTTCCCAAACCGTGAGGCCACCGCGGTGACGGGGATCTCGCCGGGGAAATGAACATTCCGGCCAAACTCTCTTCCCTGTCTATGAACAATGCCCGTCTCTCCTATCATCGTCGTCATGTTTTTCATGAGAACCTTCACCTCCAAACGTTTTTCACCTCTTTCCCCTCTACTCTCTTAGTATAGACGTTATTCCATACTTCTTCCCCCAAAATGGAACATACATGATAGACTAGTTGTTACAAAGAGACACAATTTTTCAGAGGATTTTTTTTTTTTTTTTTTCCCTCTTTTGTCAGTCATGCCTCCGATGAAGATCCAACCCATAGACGCGGAGTCACAGAAGCTGAAGGAACCGACAGCGGTGACTCGGAACGACGCCGTTAAGCCGGTTTTGAAGTCGCGGCTGAAAAGGCTGTTCGTGTTCGATCGTCAGTTTCCGAATGTGCTGAAGACCTCGTCCGCAGCGTCGGAGAAAGCCGGCGCCGGCGAGGGTCCTCAGTCCAACAGCGGAACAGCGGGCGCGGAGTTCGAGCCGAGCTCTGTTTGCTTGGACAAAATGGTGCAGAGTTTCATTGAAGAGAGTAACGAGAAGCAGACACAGGCTGTGAAATGCGGTCGCAACCGCTGCAACTGCTTCAACGGAAACAGCAACGACAGCTCCGACGAGGAAGTGGACGTGTTGGGTGATTCATTTTCCTCTGGGTCGTTCGGCGACGCCAGTGACGCGCTCAAGGTAACTAACTGGTGGAGGAGTTATTGGTCTTGAGATTTTGTCTGCCTTGACACACTTTGATTGATTCCGTGGTGTCCTTTTTTGCAGAGCTTGATTCCTTGCGCGAGTGTTGCGGAGAGAAACCTCTTAGCTGACATATCGAAGATCGTTGACAAGAACAGCAAGGTCTTGAGGCGAAAAGACGATTTGAGAAAGATCGTCACCGAAAGCCTTTCGTCTCTCGGTTACGATTCCTCCATTTGCACATCCAAATGGGAGAAAACCCCAACCTACCCTGCCGGTACCCTTTCTATCTTATTTTTGGTCCTCATTGAAATAATCGCCCAACATTGTGGAAAAAAAATGAATGTTCTCGTTCTGATGCAGGTGAATATGAATACATCGATGTGGTTGTGGAAGGTGAGAGGTTGATAATTGACATCGATTTCCGATCCGAGTTTGAGATTGCTCGCTCCACGGGAACCTACAAGACGATCCTGCACTCTCTGCCGTTCATTTTTGTGGGGAAATCGGATCGTCTCTGTCAGATCGTGGCTTCCGTTTCGGAGGCGGCGAAGCAAAGCTTGAAGAAGAAAGGAATGCACGTTCCGCCGTGGAGGAAGGCGGACTACATGTTAGCCAAGTGGCTTTCAAGCTCCTGCACCAGGGCCAATCCGCCCTTGTCCTCTACCGTCGTCAATGACTCCTTCCAGAACTTGAGCCACGACGCCGACAGTGCCGCGGCCGAGAGTGAGTCTGGTGAATTCGAACTCATATTCGGCGAAAAGGCATCGTTGCTTGCGCCGGAGACTTTTCCTGGTGGTCAGAAGAGCTTGCCACCGGTTGCGCCGCCGTTGTGGCAG